TATCATTTGTAATTCCACATGATCCACGAATATGTTGGATTAAAGATCTTAACCATACACATTCGCGTGAAATCTCGTATAAAGCAATTATTTCTGAATGGTTTGAAGATGTAGTAACCATGGACTGCTTGACCGACTTCCAAGAGATTGCAGTACCACCACAAAGAAAAACATAACCAGTTTGTGATCTAGCATTACGGGGATCTGACATATAACCAGCATCCGAATAGCCCACTAATGTCATATCTTGATTTTTCTTATAAAGTAAACCAAGATCTTGTGAACCTTGAAGATACCTAAAAATATGTTTAATACCATTCCAGTGTCTCCTCGTAGGAGAAGCACTAAACCTTGCTAGCAAGTTTACTGCAAATGCAATATCAGGCCTGGTGCAATTTGCAAGATAAAGTAACGCGCTAATGGCGCTCAAGTAAGGAACTTCTGGTCCTAAATTTTCTTCGGTATCTTCTTTAGGTCTAAATGGGTCCTTATCCGCTTCAAGGGATCGGACAACCATTGGTGTGCTAAGTGGATGAGATTTATCCATGTAGAATTTTTCTAAAACCTTCTTCAAGTAGGTTGACTGGTGTACAAATATTCCTTCAAGGAGATGCTCGATCTGCAGGTCGAGACAATATTTGGTTTTACCCAAATCTTTCATTTCAAACTCCGTCTTTAGGCATGAGCTAGCTTTATCAAGCTCCTCTCGTGTGTCAATTATATTTATGTCATCGACATAAACTGAAATGATGCAAAAACCATTTGTTGACCTCTTTATAAACACACAAGGGCACACATCGTTGTTCACATAATTATTTTTCAACAAAAACTCACTCAGCCGGTTGTACCACATTCTACCCGACTGTTTTAAGCCATATAATGACTTTTGTAATTTAATGCTATACATGTTGCGCGTTTCATTTTTCCTTGTTTCGGGAATCTTTAATCCTTCAGGGATTTTCATATATATATTTGTGTCTAATGACCCATATAAATATGCGGTCACGACATCCATTAACTGCATATCTAAATTCATAGTTACTGCCAGAGATATCAAATAGCGGAACGTTATTCCATCCATTACAGGAGAATATGTTTGATCAAAATCAATTCCGGATCTCTGCGAAAACCCTTGAGCAACTAATCTCGCTTTGTATCTCACCACATCATTATTTTCATTTCTCTTTCGCACGAACACCCATTTATATCCTACTGGGATAACATTTTGAGGTGTACGCGCAATAGAGCCAAAAACTTTTCGTTTATTTAGCGAGTCTAGTTCAGCCTCAATTTCCTCTTTCCATCTTACCCAATCGGAGCGCTTCCGGCACTCTGCAATTGATTTAGGTTCTGGATCCAGATTATTGGAGATGGTAAAAGCAACTATAGAGGCAAATGTGTCGTCGACGACTATGTTACTTCTATTGTAAGTTTCTCCTGTATCAACAAAATTCGTAGCTAGTTCAATATTTACATCAACCAGATCTTCATCATTTCCCAATATATTTTGATCTGGATGTTCCGTAATGCTAGTATTTTTATTTTTTGTTGCACGTGCATTTAAACTAGGATTTTCGCCTTCTGGACGATTCTCTTCTGGAGATTTCGGGAGTGATTCAATATTCTTATTAGATTTCGTTTTCCGCGGATTATTGTCTTTTGTACCAACGGGTCTACCACGCTTCTGGTGTGGAGTATCTGCAGGAATATTAGACTTTATGGGGACTTCCACTCGTTGTGGAGCATTTATCGAAGGTACATGAGATTTGGTCACTCTTTTATGATCAGTAAATGCATCTGGCAGATTATTTGCTAAATATTGCAAATTAATTATATTTTGAACTTCAAGTTCAGTTTGATTAGTGCGTGGATCTAAATATTGTAGATTTTCTACATTCCAAGAAATTTTTCGGCATTTATTTAAGTTTGGGCTTTTATCTCCCCCTAATGCCGGAAAATTCTCTTCATCGCATATGCAGTCAGCGTACCTAGCTGTAAATTGATCCCCAGTCATGGGCTCTAGGTATTTGAGAATAGACGGAGATTCATAGCCAATATATATACCTAACTTTCTATGAGGGCCCATAGAGGTACGCTGTGGTGGTGAGATGGGAACATAGACTGCACAACCAAATACTCGCAGATGGGAAATGTTAGGTTCTGTACCACGCACTAGTTGTATAGGGGAGTAATCATGATATGCAGTAGGTCGAATTTGAATTAGGGCAGCAGCATGTAATATTGCATGTCCCCAACATGAAATTGGTAAGTTGGAATTTTGTAACAATGGTCTAGCAATTAATTTGATGCGCTTAATGAGTGATTCGGCTAGACCATTTTGTGTGTAACATAAGGTAGCGGATGCTCCACTTTGATGCCCAGTGACATATAGTAATCATCAAAAGCTTTCGATGTAAATTCACCGGCATTATCCATTCTAATAGTTTTAATTTGATAATCAGGAAATTGAGCTCTTAATTAAATAATTTTAGCAAGGAGCTTTGGAAAAGCCTGATTTCTAGTGGACAATAAACACACATATGTCCATCGAGTGGAAGCATCTATCAATACCATAAATTATCGAAAAGGTCCCGAAGTGGGATGAATAGGGCCACATATATCACCTTGAATCCTATGAAGGAACGTAGGAGATTCAATTCTAACTTTAGTACGTGAAGGTTTCAATATT